GGGCTGAGCTGGCCACACACACACACACACACACACACACACACACACAAATAAATAAATAAAAATTAAAAAAATAAAAATAAAAATGGAATGCTTCATGAATTTGTGTGTCACCCTTGTACAGAGGATGCTAATCTTCTCTGTATCATTCCAATTTTAGTATACATGCTGCCTAAGTGAACACTAAATATATTGATCCTGTGTAAACAATTGTATAAATCTTAGAAATGAAGATCTATGGTTTACCCTTTCAGGCTTGTATTGTAAAAGAAAATGCCCCTCAGCTAGTCTCTTAGTGGCCCAGGTACTAGTTCCTGTCACAGGTCCTATTATACTGTCTCCCAGAAATGGTGGCACACTGTGATGCATAGCTGGTCACGATGATGCATAAGAACCAATGAAAGGCAGCCAAGTACCGTGCTTTTTGCTTGCAGCCCCATACAGACCTCCCTCCCTGGGCCTTTAGGGCCTGCCATTTTTATAAGGATTGATTCCTTGTCAGTGCCCACCCAAAACTGCCTCCACATCCTGGGAATCCTTTCTGTGTTTCTGCTTGCTATTGTAGTATTAAGTAGGTCACATTTCTGCCTTTAGTTTTACAGATTAATTCAAATCTGAACAATCCTTCTAGAGTGTTATATTAACCAGGCACTTTCTACAGGTTGGACAACATCAGACTAACCTAGTTGTGATGTTTTCAGGTTTCACAACTTAAATCCACTATCACATTATGGAATTCATAGTTCAGGGTTATGGACAAAGGTTTTGAAAAAGTGTTTCTGCTACTGCTGTAATACTATTTATGTAAAAAACAAAAAATTCCAACTTGTCAAAAGCTTATCTAAAAGCTGCTGGCTACTAAAAATAAATTTTCCTTACCTAAGTTTCATAATCATAGTTATATATGTTAAATATTGACATTTAGTTTTAAGTAGGAAAAGATAAATCATTACTGTAAGTTGATCAATTCAGAAGGTAAGAACATATATAATATGTACAATGATGGAATTTACATTTTTATGAATATAAGTACTTTCTAATATCCCAGTTGCAATAGCAGTGTGTTGAGACATGCTGGCAATTTTCAGAACCCCAACACAGAGATCACCGGTCTGTATTACTTTCTCTCTTGCTGTAATACACAAGTTCATGGTGATTCTGCTTATGACTTTAAATTCTGTTATGACTTTAAATGAGCTAGATCATAGAATGACATATAGTGAAAAGTGCAACTAAAAAAAACAAAACAAAAAAACCCCTACACTACTTCAGAGCTACTTTAAAAATTCAGGCTGTTAAAAAGGATTTTTTTTTTTTAACCAGAGATTGAACTCAGGCCCTTGCACAAGTGCTCATTCTACTGAGCTATCTCCCTGGCCCTTAAGAGGATGTTTTCCAAGCTACTTTTTTTTTTTTTTTTTAATGTATTTGGTTGTTGCAGGGTCTCACTATGCAGCTCAGACTCATGGTGATCCTCTTGTTTTCAGCCTACCCAGAGCTGGGATTACAGGCGTGTGCCACTACACCTGGACTCTGGCCAGTTCAGCCCAACCTGGGGGCAGGGCTGGCGTGACATGTGGTGCCAGGAATTGAACTGCAGTCCCTGCACTTGCCTAA